CACCTGGAGTCCGTAAGGGCACAGGGAAACTCATGGGAATGAACTGGACCACGTGGCTGTGTCTTGGTGCATTGCACTAAGGAGCAGCACACAAACTTGGCCCAAGATGCTGAAGAGATGGAAGAATTGTGGGGATCTCCTGCACCCCAAGAAGATCTGACAGGAGCTGCAGAAGCTGCAGGTCCGGTGGGTGCTGCAGTACGTGATGCCACACCAACATTCCAAACGTACACACAGCTGCCGCTTCGTTTCCACCTTCCACAACTCACGCACACTTCTTTTTCAGCTAACCCTAACCTAGAACTGCACAGGAAAGGGAGTTCTGGGCAACACAGTGGCAAGTTAGCCGAATTAACACAGCACAAAGCCATCACAGTTCACCTGTGACGGCTTGGCCCTCAAGTACACCTCTCATCCAGACTTCAGATGAGGACAAAGAAATCACAGTGAAACTGTCCCTCTTACAGCCAAAAACAGTCACTATTCTACTCCCCAAAAAAACAATGTAAAGCCCCTTTATTCATATCTCTCTATGCTCCCTGATATTGGATAACTTAAATACTGAAATATGAGGTTAAATACTCTTGTCTACTGCCATACCACCACCCGGAATACACCCGATCTCAGCTGATCCCAGAAGCTAAGCAGGATCAAGTCTGGTTAGTACAGGGATGGGAAATTAAATACTCTTAATGTATCTTACACTACATAGTAGGAGAATGAAAGGAATAGAGATAGTTTTTCACCATTACCAAAAAAAAAAAAAAAAAACCTGCTATGAACATCTGTGTACGAGTCTTGGTAGACATTTGCTTTCCAATCCCAGAGGTGAATCGGATAGTAGATCTGTATTCAAACTACTGAAGAAACTGTCAAACTGCTTCACAAAGTGATTGGGCCACTTTCTGTCAGTCAGAGTTCGTTTCACACCCGTCAAGAACCACATTTCAGGCCAGGGTTGAGGACACAGACAATAGGGAATGGCTGTTGGAACGGTGTCATTGTAAATACCAGCCACAACTCTGTGAGCAACCGTAGAAATGAAGAAAGAGCAGTTAGGAGTATTTTTTTTTATTTTGATAATAACTGAATGTGTTTTTGTAAGCTAAATTTTCTTTTTAAAAAAAAAAAAAAAAGATTATGTGAGAGGCAGAGTTACAGACAGAGAAAGGAAGAGACAGATCTTCCATCCACTGATTCATTCCCGAAATGGCTGTCAACAGCCAGAGCTGGGCCAATCCAAAGCCAGGAGAAAGGTGCTTCTTCCTGGTCTCCCATGTGGGTGCAGGGGCCCAGGACTTGGGCCATCTTCCACTGCTTTCCCAGGCCATAGCAGAGAGCTGGATTGGAAGAAGAGCAGCTGGGATTAGAACCGGTGCCCATATGGGATGCTGGCACTGCAGGCCAGGGCATTAACCCACTGCACCATCGCACCGGCACCACTAAAATTTCTGTTTCAAGCTTTTCACACTTTTCACTGTCTAATGAACACAATGAACTGCCCAGGGAGTTGGAGACTTATCCAGTTTCTGACTCTGACATTGGAAGACATATTTTGTATGTGGAGGCTTAATTTCCCCAGCAGTAAATGACAGTAATTCTACCTAGAAGAGTTACTAGGATTTGAAAAACAAAAACAGCATGCACTGATGCATTGTAACACATGACAGAAAGCTCTGCTCATTTCTCACCTGTGTCTGCACCTGTTGATTAGACTGATGTTCCCTGAATGTTATTTTCTTAAAAAAAAAAAAAAAAGATTTTATTTATTTCAGAGGTAGAGTTAGAGACAGAGAGAAGCAGAGACAGAGAAATAGCTTCCATCACTCTCCAAATGGCTGCTGGGCCAATTAGAAGCCAGAAGCTTCTTCCAGGTCTCCCACATGGGTACAGGGACCCAAACACCTGGGCCATGCTCCACTGCTTTCCCAAGCCATAGCAGAATGCTGGATTGTATGAGGAGCACCCGGGACACAAACTGGCGCCCATAGCAGATGCCAGCACCACAGGCAGAGACCCAGCTCACTATGCCCCAGTGCCAGCCCCTCCCTGAATCTTCTGACAAACCTGACTGACACACACATATATCCATGAAACCAAGACCACAATCAACACACACATGTGTCATGCCAAAAGCATTGCTGTGCCACATAGCAATCGAGTGGCATTACAGAATTGGAAGTCAGTTGCACACATAGTGGTTTTGCTTAAAAACAGGAGAGTGAAAATGAGGTGGGGTCTTCGCTTGAGCAAGGCCTGTTGTGTTGGGGGCGAAGGAAGATGCTAGTTCCCCATCCTCTCCACAGCCGGCCCTCGCTCAGGCCTTCACTGTCACAGGCTCTCCTGTGAACAGCATGCCCCACCCGGCATCCATCTCACTCAAGATGAAGTCACAGCACGTTGACTCCCGGGCTGGTCCCTTGCCTGCCTCCGGAGCTCCCTACCAGCCGTCCTCCAACACTGATGGGAATAAGCAGTTAAATGAGTCATTAGTAAGCACCTTCTGCACGCCACACCTGTGCTCTGCATGCATTATCTTCATTAGGCCTTACATCAATCTTGCAAGTTGTGTATCGTTACCCTCCTTCTACAGATGAGAAAACTGGGTTTCCCCAGGTTACACAGAAACTAGTAAGTGAGAAAGCTGGAGTTTAACCTCGGTACCTGCAACTACAAAGCCTGCCCTCTGAACCTCTCTAAGCAGCCGCACTTCCAGCTCCTCAAGTACACATTCAAATTTCTACCCTCCGTTCCTGCCTTTCCTGCCTTTTGTTGTGCCTCTTTTTAGGTCTGAAATGCACTTCCCTCCTCCCACATCTCCTTAAACATCTAACTCTTGCTGAGTTATTCAGCCCCAGTTGAGGAGCATCTGAAGGAAACTTCTCCTGCTCTTTCTTGCCTCCTTGCCTGGCTCAGAGCCCATTCTCTGGGCTCCCATAATCCTCTGCACAACTCCCTCTTGTTGTAGCATACATGTTCTTGTAGTTAGCCAGGTTCTCATATCTCGGTCTTTCTAGTGGATTAGGAGTTGGCAGGCTTCTCCTGTAGAGAGCCATACAATAAACACTTTAGGCCTTGTAGGCATACACTGCCTGTTGCAGCAGCCCCACCGTGCTGTTGTGCTGTGAAAGCATCCATAGAAATCAATGCATAGGGGCTGGTGCCGTGCTGTAGTGGGTATCCCATATGGGTGCCAGTTTGAGTCTCTGCTGCTCCACTTCCCATCCAGCTCTCTGCTATGATCTGGGAAAGCAGTAGAAGATGGCCTAGGTCCTTGGGCCCCTGCACCCCCATGGGAGACCCAGAGGAAGCTCCTGGCTCCTGGCTTTGGATTGGCGCAACTCCGGCCATTGTAGCCAATTGGGAAGTGAACCAGCGGGTTGGAAGACCTCTCTCTTTTTGCCTCTCCTCTCTCTGTGTAACTCTGACTTTAAAATAAATAAATAAATATTTTAAAAAAGAAAGCAAGCTAGGGTAAATACAACTTACCAGATGTCTTAACTAATAAGGATAAATTCTAAGTTTCTCAAATAGTTCAAGCTAGAATTTTCATTCATTTTTAACATTTGCTGGGGTAGGTGTCTAGAGCAGCCGTTAAGCTGCCGCCTGGGAGGCCCGCATCCCGTATCACAATGCCTGGTGCCAGTCCAACTTCCTGCTAATGTACACCTCAAATACTTGGGTCCCTGCCACCCATGTGGGAGATGTGGGTTGAGTTCCCAGCTCCTGACTATGGCCTGGCCTGGCCCTAGTTGTTGCAGGCATTCAGGAAATGAACCTGAGGGTGGTGGTTCCATCTGTCTCTGTCTCTGAATAAACAATGTATGCATTTACTAGTTGGAAGTATTAGATTACTTTTCAAAGTATAAAATGCAGTGTACTTAATTTCTAGGCTATGTCTTTTGGGCCCTAGTATTTACTTTTCTCTAACATGCATAGAAAACCTACTAAGTGCGTGGAATCAGGGAGAGCCGTGATATGTATAGACCCATGCAGGAAAGGATCCCTGTCACTTAAATATACCCACACCAGACATTTCTGCAATCTGGTAAACATATTTTTTCTTGAGGAAAGGTTCCATGGGTCCAGTGTTTGGAAAACACTGGCTAAGGGATGTTAATTAGATTTCTTCACTTTGGAATTTCCCAGTCTTTATTCTACTAATGTGATGTGACCACTGAGTCAGTCTTTCTGGGAGCAGCTCCAGAGACTGCTGGGAACATAGCTGGGGAAACACTGGCTTAGCACTTCCACTGAATTATAGTTTCATCTACTGATTTGCTTCCAACCCAGCATTTAGTCAAAGATATTCTCCAATAATGACCCAATCGGAGTTTTCAGCACTCTGCTGGGATAAGAGACATTGCTAGCAAATTAAAGAACATAATGTGTAGTTTGTAGAAGGGATTTTTGATAATCCCCTGGATTTTGTCCTTTAGTAGGTAAACAACTGAAGCCGCACTTCACAGGGAGGGTGCCCACGCCAATCCGTTATCTATGCTGGGATGCTTTGAGAGTGATGGAGGTAAACCCAGAGTGTCCCAGGCAGAGTGCGCTGACCATCCACCTAATCACAGTCTGGGCTCAGCGGTTGTGCACAGTTGCATCTGGGATTGTCAGTACTGCAGCCCTGACCTTGACTTCAGGAGCCCATTGCCAGGGATGGTTGGTTCTTGGTTGATTCACAGGCTTTGGGATTGTGTAGGATTGTGAGATTGTTTACTGCACTGAGGCTTTCAGCAAACCGTGGCCTTGAGAAATCTTAACTGTACATTTAACAAGTGGCTTTTAAGGTGGGTAAAAGCAGATGTTCCTGACGATGCATTTGTTTTAAGTTTGTCTCTTCCCGAGAATTTTTCTTCAAAAAGGGCCAAGGTGTGAATATATGCTATCAGAATTAAAATGAAGTTGACTGCGGAGCACTTTCCAACACTGAAACGGAAGAGTCGCTTCATATTCCTGTCTTTAATGCTTCCTGTCTTTCTTCATTCTTTTGACAGTTTTTCGAGGTGCCATTTGACTCAAACATGAATCGGACGAAGAACAGGCCTCTGGTCCGGGGACAGATCAGGTAAAACCACGACTGTTAAGTCTCTTCCACCTTGTAGAGCATCGATTTGCTTGTTCATCCTGAAACGTTTCCCAGAATTTCGCCTTCCGCGGTGGAGTGGAAAATCACCCACCTGCAAGGGATCACGCTGGTGTGGATGCGCGGCCCCTCTCACCTCTAACCAAAATGTACCACCCAGCACCCCAGATGCACCCAAGATTTGCAGGTTTTCTGGAGGGAGTAACTCATGCGAGAGGCCTTTTTGATTTCATTTTGAGATACGGACTTTGTTTCACTTTGTGGGGCCTGAAGATAAAAACACTCCATTAACACAGGATTCTGAGACCCATCCAGCTAGGGTCTCAGAAGAGGGCTGTGTCTGAAATCTCATTTTTTCAGATCACCTGATAAAGCTGTTGTATGCCAAGTTAAGCACGGCCATTACCGTCCTTTCCACCAAATTCAATTAAGTAGAACTAAAAGGCATATAAATATTTCAATATCTCTAATGGTTAATAATTAAGCATTTTACTTCCAGGAGACCTCTGCACCAGCATTTTCAAAAAAAAATTTTTTTTTGAATCTGAGATATTATGTCACACGCCTAGAAGTATAATGAAAAGGGCCAAATGGTTTATCCTGACTCTTCCAAACCCAGTGAATCTTCTCTTCACATTCCCAGTGTGTGCCCTCGTAGGAAGCTTAAGATCGAAGAATCACATGTGCTAAGTAAAACAACCAAGGAAACAAGTGTAGATCCAGTCTGATAAGTCTATGTTAGCTGTTTTGAGGCATTCAATTGTTAATGAATTTAAAATACCGCCACATTTAAAAAGGCAATAGAGCCAGACAAAAATATAGAAGAACAAAAGTATCTTTTTTTGTATTGATATTTTATTCCTTTTTATATTTTTGAAATATAAATAAGGCTATGTATTGTTTTACAGTTTGTAAACTGCCTGACATGCTTTTGTTATTTAAATAAATCTGTTGCAGCAAGAAGAATGTGGTGTCTGTAACCCGTCTGTCCCTAAAGCTGAAAGCTGCACTTGCCCTGGGCAGATCGTAGGGAGCTTGTTCCTGATTCGGAATTTCTGTCCAGTCGTCTTCAGCGGGCTCCTGCCCTCCGTCAGAAGCAGGGGCAAGTGTGGGAACAGGCCCAGCAAGCAGTCAGCGGGTGTGAAGCAGTCACCACTGTTTCCATCCTAGGCCGTCATCTTTGGTCAGAAGTGGCCAAAGCAGGGTCTGTGCGTGTGTGCAGAAGGCAGCATGGTGACCTTGGTGCCCATTGTTGGCAGTGCTGCACGATTACTAGTCGTGTGTACACGTACGACTTCTCTTGTCTGCAAGATGGCCCAGGCAGAATCTCATTGATGACAGTAAACCTGAATTGCTCTTTTAGAGAGCAGATTATAGGCCTGAAAGAAATACACTGAAACTCAGAGCAAAAATGTGTTTTCTTAAATAGATATGAGGAGCTGTTAAGTGCCTGGGGCAGAAATCTCATGTTGGGAAGCGTGGTTTCAAAACTGAAGACTTCATACCTTGCCAACTAGCATTTATCATGATTTAATATGATATTATCTACTACACAGATGTTTTCTAAGTGGGTAATCATGGTGGGGAATAGTAGAAGGTTTCCTACCAACCATCCATTAAAATTGATTTCTCAGCTTTGACAGATTTTGTGCTCATAGCAACTATCGGTCACTCAAATCCAAACTTCAGCAGTTATTTCAAAGGTTTGTTCTCGGTACTCAGTACTCTGTTTGATTCGGGGTAGTATGCCTGTCCAGCTTCCTAGACTTAATTTACAGTTCCACGTGTAAAGTGGGTCCCTGTCATTGTCTGTGGGCAGCCTGGGAAAGAAACCCTGTGAAAGTCTTGTTACTGATGACCGGGTCCTGTGGTGGGGTAAATACACATATAGCTGTACTGTATTTTATTATATATTTCATTCACATGGCTGCTGTGTTTTTGAACACTTTTATTGACGTGAACACAAGTGGCTTCTAATGAGTAAAGGCGTGGATCAGGCAGTGAGGCTGTTCCTGTGCCTGCTGCCACCCGCTGTGCTTAGTCCTCTCTTCCAGAAAAACTCGGTGGCGAGCAGCAGGCAACGCGCCTGAGGGCTGCCGTAAAAGAAAGAAACTGTGTTTGTTTTTTTCTTTTCTTTTTGCTTAGTTGCTATTTATTCCAGAAGAGATGTAGAGGTATCCTAAGACTAGTTAGAAAAAATAGAGAAGTGGACGTCAGAGTTAATGGAAGATGGAATATGGGATTCAGGGTGAGACAGAGCTTACCGTGTGCCCAGCTTCACCTGCTGCTTTTGATGGGATCACAGCGGCAGGCATTACGTACAGAGTGGATTCTCACAATTCCCCCATGAGGTGTGAACTGTCCAGTTGCCCCCAGTGCTCTGGACAGGAAATGGAGGCTGCAGGTGTTCACGGAGCAAGTGACAGAGTGCAGATTTACCCAAGGGCCTGACAGCTGGCACATGGCTGTGTCTCTGTTGGTGAGAAGGAAACATCACTCCCATGAGCTCGGTAGGGGAAAGCAAATCGCAGGTTGCTAAGGCTCCCCTTGGCACAAACCAGAGACAGGAGTCCAGAGAACGCTTCCCATTGAGAACATCCAGAACATACTGCCTCAGAGTGACTGGAGAGGAGGAGACTGGGGCCGACATTGTAGCCAGGGATGTGTTTCTGACTGCTCAGCTGGCTGCAGAGATAAAACCTAGATGGATGGGCGTCATCCACACTGAGTTAAGCCGTCCCTTGGGAACGCCGATGTCCCATATCAGAGTACCTAGTTCGAGTCCCCACACTACTATGTGCTTCCAATCCAGCTCCCTACGATGGGCTTAGGAGGGTAGCAAAAGATGGTTCAAGTACTTAGGCCATTGCCACTCATGTGGAAGACCTGGATGGAGTTCCGGGCTTCTGGGCTTCCACCTAGCCTAGCCCTGGCGATTGCAGTCATTTACTGGATAGAAGAACATTTTGTCCCCCTGTCTCCATCACTCTGCCTTTCAAGTAAATACGTGCGTAGGTACCTATATACCAGACATAGAAAGGAGCGCACCAGGGAATGAGACTAGGATCAGAGAGAGACAGAGGAGATGCTCAGAACATCCCATGTGGTCCAGGGCGGGTGGCTGCGTTTCCACCTGTCAGCCCAGCAGGATCGTCCTCTCTCACGTCCCAGTCTCCAGTTTGCATAACTCTGTGCCACCCTCTGTAAATGTGACGATGGTTATGGGCATAGAGCTTCATCATTGTTAAGGCTATTTCATACGAATGCTTTTTGCTGATTTCCACTGAAAGAGAAAAAAAACATAAATGGGAAGTATAACATATTTAAATCAGCTTGTGGGTATATGGTGACATCCAGACCCCTTTAAATACCTCTGTTCAAAATACCACTCAGCACCTCTGCGTTTTCCTTACGTTGTTTGCACATTTCTAGCAGAAATGTCATGGCTGTGAAAAATGTGTGTGTGAAGGGAACTGGGCTTTAGAGCCTGCTTTGTTTTCTGGCAGAGAACATACACCTTAGAATTCATGTGTCGCACATGGGGAGCTCACACTCAGGCATGAGTAAGCCTACCCTACAGGTTAAATTTGTAAACGCAAAGTCTTACGATGAAAGCAGACAGAGAAGTTTACCTGCTTATAGAAAAGTCTGGTTCAGCCTGATCACTTGTAACTGGATGACTAGAAAAAGTTATCAACACCTAGAAACCAATGTTTTGGAACCAGCGCTGCGGGCTAGCAGGTAAAGCCGCCACTTGCAGTGCCCGCATCCCATATGGGCGCCAGTTTGACTCCTGGCTGCTCCTCTTCCAGTCCAACTCTCTGTTGTGGCCTAGGAAAGCAGTGGAAGGTACCCCAAGTCTTTGGGCCCCTGAACCTGCGTGGGAGACCTGGAAGAAGCTCCTGGCTCCTGGCTTCAGATCAGCGCAGCTCCATCCGTTATGGCCATTTGGGGAGTAGACCAGTGGATGGAATACCTCTCTCCCTCCCTCTCTCTCTCTCTGTGCCTCTGCCTCTGCCTCTGTGTAACTCTGCCTTTCAAATAAATAAATAAATCTTAAAAAACCCAATGTTGTATAACAGAAAATACCTGTCTTCAGATATTATTCATGTAATTACCATGCTATCTGGACAGGCATTTAACTTAGCAAGTTCAGACTCCTGCATCCTGTATCACCATACCTGGGTTCAGTCCCCAGCTCTGGTTACTGACTTAAGTTCCTGCCATCTGTTAATGCAAACCCAGGAGGCAGCAAGTGGTGAGTCAAATAGTTGGGCCCCTGCCACCCATGTGTGAGATCTGGACTGAGTTCCTGCTTCCAGCCATGGGCCCAGCCTAGCCAGCCATTGAGGGCCTTTAGGGAGTGAACCAGTGCATGGGAGCATATTTGTTGCTCTTCCCCTGCCCGCTCCTCCTCTTCCCTCTCGAGTTTTGAAGTGTTACTTAACCGATTCAGAGCTTGGCAAGTCATTGAATTACTCTCTCCACACTACCAGTTCTTCTGGCATGTTCATCTCGTAACAGTATCACGGAGATAATAACATTGATAAAATCGCATGAATAATAGTGCATTGTCCAAGAAGAGGTTTAAAACTCTAAAATAATGTAGGATTGCTTATGGAAATTTCATCTGTTGTCAAATGGGCTTCAAAATACAAATATTTTGTTACTTCCCAGACAATAACTTAAATCCAGGTTACTTTTATAAAGGGTGGGAGAAAGGAAGCAAAGCTACTTTGCAAACGAAAGAACATCAGGGAGTGAAAATTGTGATTCCACTCTCATTGAGTTGGTAGACAGAAGCTACTCAGGTGATTGAGTGCTTCATTCATTCTGTCACCATCAGGGACACTGTTATGGAGAAGTGGGCTCCTTGCTAGGGCACAAACATGTAAATGACATTGTCTTAAAATCACATGGAGGAGATGGCAACACACAGGCTTAAAAATGGCAGTAAGTGCCGTGAGAGGTACAGTTCACTC